ATGGTTACTGTCTATTTGAATACCTCGTGATTTATAGAGACTTCTAAAAAGTTTCGATTGATTATCCTATAACTTTTAAAGACTTTTTAAAAGTATATAGAAATCCCAATTAAATACATTTAAACTTTTAAAGAGTTATCAAGAGTCCCAATTAAATACCCCTGAACTTATTCGGTGAGATATATTGTATTCTACAGTATTAAAATCGAAAAATGTGTGAGCAATGTATATTGTATGCACTATTTAGCATAATTTTGAAACTTGGAGTGGACTGAGAACTCAAAAATTGACTGTGAAGCCGCTTTCAGTCATGACTTTGACAAATCTGTACAGATTGTTAGAAATTGGCGATCCCAATTTGGGAAGAATTATAATGGTTGCTGTACTCACAAGGGCGCCACTAGAAGGCCCGCAAATAACTATATACATGTAGCACGATTGTCTTAAAAAATAAATATAGGTTTGGAATGGTCAAATTATAAAAAATTAATTCCAAATAATTTTCTGTCTATGGCAATATAAAATAATATTTAAATAATAGAATTTGTGCAAAAATCGTGTAGCCGAATAAATTATAATAAAATAAAAAACAATTTTGATGAATAAGTCCATATGCAATAAAGTAACAATTATAAAAGAAATAAATTGTAACTTTTCATCGTCGTTCATCAATGATTGGCAACAATGTGAACTTGACCAAAATTTGCTTGTCATCACAAAAGCTAGCATATGAACTTTCGACATACTCAGAACAAAGAGAGCGACGTGAATGGTTCACAAGGTGATAGGTAAAACTCATATTTCAATCAATGAATTGAATTGAATTGATTGAAAGCTGCATAATTGATTATATATATAGTGATATGATGGGAAATGTGTGGTTGAAAAAGAAAATAAGATTATTGATGTGATGAAAAATATTATTTTATTGAAAAATGTGTGGTTGAAAATGAGAATTGATTTACTGTAGAATTGGAGAATCCGTACCAAACGGGGCGTTAATAGTTTTGTTTAAGAATTAATTTGTTATTAATAAAGAT